TCCAGGAGATCATGGCAATAATGCTATCTGAACAATTCCGCTCGTTCGGTTCAATCCCTGCTAGCAATACGCGCCTATTCACACTGGACTCTTCCCCGTTCATAATCTCAGGATAACTGTCATCTACACCCCATCCAGTCCATGCAAATGACAACACAACCCGCAACCATGTCAACTCCAAGTTCCTGTCTTCTCGCTCTCTCCCGCAACATATAAAGTCCAAGCCCCCCCTCGCAATCCACCCACCGCCAATTCTGCTCTTCCTCGTCCCCTCTCTCGCCTCACATCCGCGCACCGTGCCAACAGCATCATGAAATAAACCCAAGAATCGTAACACGGCACATATGCACCTTCCCCTCCATCCCAGCAAGTCACTCGGCGAGCAAAAGAGCTTCCCTTGCCCGAGCCCAAATTCGACAGACGGCCACTACGTTCCGCCAGCGATCCCACCAGCACATGGCAGGCTATCTAGTCTCGGCATGCACCTTGTTCGGGAAAAGAAAGCCCCCAGCAGCCCAACCCAGCATCCGGTGAGACTTGCTGCGTCGTTGTGCTCTCACACCCGCAACGAGGCTTGCCGAGAAAACTGTGGCTCCCCAATACCGTCAACGCCGGACCAGCCACCGTCTCCGGCGGCATACGGACCTAACTGAGCGGAGAGAAGTGAAGAAGCGTCCGTCCCCGTACCAATCGAGTCGACACACATATGCCTGCGTCGTCGCATAACCGCATTTCCGGGTATCGCATGCTCCCTGACTTCGGGCTTTGCTGCAGCATCAATCGTACCCGATCCTCATACCGGCGGCGTCTCCAACCTTCGATCCCACGCTTAGAAAGGGGGGGTTGAAACGTCAGCCACCAATCGTCATGGGCATGCCATCTTTACTCCGCAGATCCGGATGTATGTACTCCGTACGCCGTGTACATGCATACAACCGAGCTGCAAGTTCCGGATGCCTTGGCACGGATAGTCGTCCCAGAGTCCAGACAAGGCATGCGTGGCTGGCCTGTCGGACGCGGCAGCGCCCGTTCCTGAGGCCCAGCGTCTCGGATCTGCCTGCGGATCATGCCGATTCCGAAACCAAAGCAAAAACAACAGACGGAAATATGACACTCGAGAGAAGACAAGCTACACGTCATGTGTTACCCTGCACCGGCTGCGATTCCCAACCGACAGGGTATAGAACATGGCAACCGCGTGGCTGTTGTTAGCCCCCCCTTTTATAATCCCCTTTCTTTTTGTTTGATGTCATGTTGGGCCAAAATAAAGGGTAACGACAGGATGCATTGCATGAGGCATGCTTTGGCGTCGGGCTTCGGCGCACCACACGGCACGTCGTCGATGAGCGTGGCTTTCTTTGCGGCGGCATAGAGGACTGCATTACCCAATGATTGGAATCGTTACCAGAACAACATGAGTATACAGAGTTGGCCGTTTGGCTACGGCAGCCTCATTGCCTTGGGGTCTAGACCCATTTGCCATCATCTCAGCTGTCCAATATAATGCGCGGCGCGTCTGAACCACTCTACCGGGCGTTGAGGGTTGTTCGACGTTGAGATTTATTTGGCTATGGTTGATTGGCTCAGCTGTATGCGCCGTGGTGCCTTCGCCACCAGGTAAGCGGCTTGTCCGATTCCTTTTTTGGCAATTCATCATGTTTGTCGGTTGCTAATCTCCAAGTAACCTGCAGGGAATAGTAGTGTGCCTCCTGAGTCCTCGTGCTGTCAGTCTGATCCATCTGCATGCAGGGAACTCAACCAACATCCAACAGCCAACTAAACCTGACTGCGTCGATGCAGGTAATTTCCATCAAGCGGTAACGCTGTAGTTGGTTGGTTCTGGAGCATCCCAGATGGCCAATATGTAGTTTCAGGATCGCCAACAAATACCTCTTATACAGCCACTTGGGTCCTGTAAAATGGCCATAGCAGGCGACCACTTGACGCCAAAAAGAAAGCCTCCCAGCCCCCTACTAATTTCCCTGGGCCAAAGATCTCTCTCTGTTTCGAGAAGCCTGAAGCGTGGCCTGTCAGTGCAACCCCCACCAGAAAGTGAGGCTGACTTGACTGCGCGAACGGCGGCTTTCGTGTTTAACCCCGCCTGGCGCACGCGGCCAACTGACATTGCAGAAGTCATTGCACAGTATAAGGCGGTGATGCGCTGCAGTCGTCTGGATGTCGTCGTCTTGCCATTCGCCACCGCGTATGGCGTCTTGGACACCCCACAGACGCCGTGGTAACGCGGCACAGTCGTGTGTCTCTCAGCCCATCATCACACTCAGGCGAGGAGTAGTATCCAAGGCCAACAAGGCATCTGGATGAACGGATGGGCGACCTATTCCATCAGGCGACTTCTGCCTTATACGACCCTGGCGGTCCAACCAGGCGTCTTGAACAGAAACGTCAAGAAATGACACCCGCCTCACTTCAACGTAATAGACAAGGTCCTGAAGAAATCGACGACGTAACGAGTCCACGAGCAATCCCTGTACATGAACCACTGCGGTATCGTGGCAGAGGGGACGTGAAACTCGCGGTCGCAGTCACACCAGCGTCATGGACATGGCTGATGGCCCGTCCCGTTACCCTCTGGGTAGCATTCAAACAAGGCTTGGCTGCAAAAGGACCCTGCAGCCAAGCATCCCATGTTGGCACGGCGTGACACAGACGAGGATAAATGCCATGCCCTGGCGCTCGGCCGACCTGGCATGCGTCAATGCGCTTCATTCCGCGGAAGTTGTCTTCTCTCGCCAACAGTGCAAGTGTGGTTCCGAGACGGTGAATCTCATGCTTGCTCAGCCCTTTTTCTTTCTTCGCATGCCATTCGTGTTTTAGAAATGGAGGCCAGTGCCGCCGAGATGACGGCCGACTGATTGCTCCCGAGTGGTCGGCCTAATTTCGCAAAGAGAAGGAGGGGGTATCAGCAATCAGTACAAAAAAAAAAAGGCACGGAGCACTACATGTACATACATACGGAGTTAATGCGCTTGGCACCGTAAAAGTTGGTTGGACCGCTGGACGACACCTGGAGTCTGCTGATGCCGCACTGCTGCGTCTTATGCCGCCGGCGGTGGAGCCAGGGCGTCTGTGTCGAGGCGGCTCAATACGTACTGAAAATGTCAAGCCAAGTCTGGTTGCTTTTCCTCGACACGGTCCACCTGTCGTCGTCGGCTGGTTTTGATTCGGACGCTGCTGGTACCGTGACTTGAGCTTCATGTTTGTTGGCGGCAAGGAAGCCACTTGCTGATCTTGGCGCCGCTGTTGCCTACGGTCGGAGCAATCAAGGTGAGAAGCCGCGATCGCCTGGTGTTCATGGCTCTTGTGAATGATGGTGCCCGAGCTGTCGGAATCAAGCCACTTGTGGGGTCAAGGATCCCTGGTCGATCTTTTTATGTCCATCCTGGTCAGTGTCGGCTTGGTTGGTTGCCTTGTGTCGTCGTCTTTGCGAACCAGTGGAATGGGGAATGGAATCGCGATTGGAATGGAAGACCCGACTATGTCAAATGCACGGAGTACATAATACCTGGACTAGACCTACACCGCCCGTCTATGTATGTCGCAATATGTCTCTGGATACCGTTATTGCTGAATGGCAATCAAGAGAGTTATCGTACAAACTATTATTCTACATCCATTAGATTCCCGCTCTGCACTTGCCATTATGCCCCAAATCCATGCCTTTGGCTCTGAGACTTGTGCTCACCTTTCTTTTTCTGTTCTCTCCCCCTTCTTTCTTACAATCTATTTTCGTCGCCTTTTTTTCTCTTCCTTTTTTTCGCTTAGTTGGGGCTGAATGTTGTCGTCGTGTTGCCATGTGGTCACACCGCCTCATCTGACATCATATCCGAACGCAGCAGAGTGAAGCAACTACTTTGTCAGATTCCGACCCCGAATGCACAAGTTTCCTCCGAGAACCGCTTTCGGCCACCGCATATGTATGTATTGTGGCCATTACTCCTCCGTCCTCATGACCCCCGAGGCGCAGGCTTATGGTTATACCTGAGGCCAACCGACGTGCCTCATTCACCCGCCATGCGCTTGCTCAAGTTTAATCACTTCGCATCATGTGTCATGCTCTCTTTCTTCTCACCCACACAGCAGTCGGTAGGGTGACAGGGCAGCCTCATTTGTCTTCACCAGTCTGGTATTGTCAGACTGAGAACCTAACCTCGAATCCTATAGGTTGCTGGTCTTGATCCTGGTGCAACGTTCATGTTAAAACCCGATTGGACGATTTTCTTTTTACCCTTTTGGGGTTTGACAGATTGACATATGGGGGGGAAAAGGGCTGGCCTCCAAATTTTGGAGTCCAACATAGAACGCATTTCCACAAATTCCCATACATGTCAAGAAGTCCAACGAATCAAAGAATAAAACGAGATATTTCGTAGATAATCATAAGAAAATAAGCAAGCAAATAAATGGCATACAAATGACTGGCGAGATAGATATCCACTGTTGAGACAGAGAATTTTCCATGTAGGTAATGCTGATTGTGACAGATCAGGGTCAGTGATTGATATAATTCAACCCTCCCTTTCCTTCGCTCGCTATAATCGATATTGTGGTGTTGTAGGCGGCGCAGTTTCGTCTTGAAAAGAACGCAAACTAAGCAGCGCAGTTTCAATCTTGGTACTCCTATAACCAGGCGTCGAATGCATCTCGTCCAGTAGGCTGGCTTCGATGAGAGGAACTTGTGTTGCCAGTTGCCGGTAGAAAGAAAGGATTGTCGACCATATTTCACCAGGCGATTCAGCTCTGGTGTGTTCGTGTGCTTTGATCCAATTCGCACTATTATTAGTAAGTCGACCCATCTTTAAACCAGCATCTGCCACCTGTCCTTCCATTCTCCAATCCTCCGTCTCTCCATTACCCCTCCAAAACTTGTCATATACTGACACTTCAAGGACCGTAGTGTCTTTTCAGCTGCCAGCGGGACATTCTTACCAGCAACATTACTCAAGACTTTCAAACGTAGCTCAGAGAAACGTATATTTGCTTCATGGGTTTGCTGGTTCGGTCGATGCGACATCAGTAACAGACGCGGCCAGCTCAACTGGCTCATCTTCGAGCTCGTCGTTGTGACTTCCCCCCTTTGTAGAGAACTGCCTCGCATGCTTATCCCAGTGCAGCTGTCTTTTCTTCATTGCAATGCTATGCCCGAGCCACAGGATTCTTTCGCAACGCTTGCCTACGGTTGACGCAGGCTCAAAGTATTTTTCGTCGTCGTCAATCGCCGTATTATCAAACCACTTCTTTGGGAAATAGGTTCCGGTATAGATTAAACCACGCATAGCATAGTCTTCGGTAAGAGGTTGCGCCTTACCACCTTCGGGCCACGGAATTTCCGGGGTATCCAACCGTGGTGTAAACTCGCTAGTCCGTAATAGATAGTTGAGTAGTAAAGCAGTCTGTTCCCATGGGAGGGAATCCTCTAAGTACTGTCTTCCCACATCAAAATCCATCATAAACCAGTAGAATACTAAGAGGGTATGAAGGCATGGCAACGTGTTCTTGTCACCCCACCGAGCAATAACAATCTCATACGTGCGAGCTGCAAATCTCACCGCTGTG